ACGGTGAGACGGACGTGTAGTTCAGTTTTGGGCACGCGTACGGTGCTGCAGGGATTATATATAGGTGTAGTAGTACCTCTTCGGGCTCTTGTACACCTTTTTCTTGCTACGTGTGCGTGTTCTTTAGATCCTCAGATGGCTCCAGCACTTTCGTGACCACGGGCCGAGAGTCTTTGCTAGATTTTGGCATTTAGCAACTGGCATACGGTTTAATGTGAAGTCAACAACAACAGTTAACAACAACAACAACTGAACAGTTTCTATCGGTGATGCCAGCCGGTGCTAATCACAAATAAATGTACTAGGAACACGTCGAGTGTCTGCTAACAACTTGCTGGATTCACTGCTGTCGATCTACATGTAAATATAAGGCAAATCGAGGCGAATGAAGATCCCTGTGTGACTTGCTTGGATCCAGGTCCTGTCGACGTTGCTGACGCCGCCACCTAATATCACGTCGTGGTGCAACATCAGGACATCAGTAGCACATATAGGGAAGTGGTGCGGATATCTCAACTGATTCGGCGAAGAAGCATGTCGACAAATGTTGCCCACCTATTGATGAAAAAGAACGCGTGTGACAGCAGGAGGCGCAGTCGTTGTTGCCAGAAGTCACATCATGCTGGGAGGACTTTGAATCGGCACCTACCTACTGCCAAGTCTCTCAACTTCGTTGTGTGAGATGCATACATCACCGACTGCAGGGAACGGTCAGCTAACCCGAAGTTGAGATGATTTCTGCTGTTGGTGTTGCCTATGAGGACTCTTTTTCTCGTGTGTGTCCGTGCAACGGCGTTGCCGGCAAGTGGATAAGATGAGACTGGGGGAGTGGGGGAGAGCTGTTGTCTGTTGCCTGGACACCTGGACCTGCCAGCAGAGAGAGCCAGCACAACCGGACGAGCGGCGGGGCATCTGTGCTCCCAATATTTCATCCGCGAGCCCCCTATTGTCTTGCTCGTGTGTCGTCCTCGTCGCAGTCACCTATTTTGCGGGCACTCTCCCGTTCCAAGCGAAAAACGGGAGAGGCTAGCGACACACACACCCCACCGGTGCCATGCGGCATCCGGTTCGGGATGGAATCCTTATCTTCTTCATGGCGTACTTCATCGTTATCTCGTACTTCCAGTCCGTGCACCACCGCCGAGCGATCGAGCTCGCCAACGGCGGCGGCAACAAGCAGACCACCGGTACCTCCGATGTTGTGGAAGCACCACCCTCCACGATGAGCACATCGAGCTTGGAACCGGCTGCTACTGCAGGTGGAAGCACCACCACCAGCAGCACCGGCGTCGCGAAGAAGAAGGCGGCGACGACGATGACAGAGCGGGCTTCCTCCTCTTCGTCGTTTCAAGAAGCGGCCGCCACAACAGGAGCACAATCCGGAGGCGGCCCATCGCGGCAGCAGCAGGACCAGCAACAGGCGGGCGCACCAGAGACGCCAGGATCAGCAGCAGGGACACCTGCCAGTAGCGAAGGCCCTGGCGATAGTAGAGAGCAGGGTGTGGATGGCCAGGCAGGAGACGAAGGTGCCCAGGAGACAACAGACCAAGGTCTCCGGCCCTTTCAAGTTGCCGACGAGGCCGTAACCCACGAGCAGCAGCAGCAGGGGCGGGAGGGGCTTCGGCCTCTTGGAGAGTCTGCTGGAAGGGAAGACGGTGGCAGGGAGGCGGGGGGTGGTTCTACTGATCATGAGGCTGCCGCCGGCGGGGGTGCTTCTTCTGCTGGGTCCACGGTGAGCAATCAACGTTGTTATTGCACCGAAATATGTATGTTGTGGGCCGCCGGTTTAACTATTTAGTGAAAACTACGGCTTTGTTGCGGACAGTATGGTCAACTCTTGACACTTAAAAAAGTCTCTATAATAGTGCTTCCTATACATGTCATCAGCTTCAGGACAAACAACAACGGCTGATTGTGTGCAAACTTCGGTGGGGTTGATCTCGGGTATAGTCTTTCTGTGTTTTCGTGTACATAGCATATGCATACTTGTACATTTTCTAAAAAATGGCAACGAACCCGGTCTCTTGGCTGGGTCGACCGATCAACAGGAGCACGCGCTTTCCCTTGCTGTGGTCATGCGGGCTGCTGTTCTGCTGTTTTGTAACGTGAAGACCCTGAAACAACGTGGTGTATTTTCGACTCGTGATGGCCGCGTGTGATGTAGGAACAGCACGAAATCCCTGTCACGTAGAATAGGTGCCTGTGTTTATGCTACACGTCCTCTGGTGATGTGCTAAGGCGGCCAGAAGTCAACTCGACGGAATGTTCAGCGTCCTGTTGGTGTTCTGCACTAAGAGTATCATGTGGTAAATGCTTCAACAGCAGTATCGAGAAAGTAATGAAGGTTGGCCATACCAGTCGGCATTCATATATCTTGAGCCGTCGGCATGTATGCAACACTTGAACGGCAGGGTTGCAACGAGGTATAGAGGGGTGTGGTGAGCTGTTTCTGCTGTACCCCCGGACGCTTTCCGTGGCCGCACAGGCCAACTACCCTCAAAAGGTGCACATTCAAGCGAACAGGGAATTAAGGGCAGAAAAAGCGCCACAACCGCGATGATACATGCATATCGTAGGGAACACGCAAAAAGGCCAAACGACTAAACAAACGCATCGGCCCATCGAAGGCGCGGCAGCGTTCACGTACTATGTACAGCAGCAGCAGTAGCGAGAGGCTCAGCGCGGGACGGGGG